CGCTGTCGCTGTCGCTGTCGTTGTTGTTCTTTTGATTATTTGTTGCTGTTGTTATGGTCGATGTTGTTGTGATTCTTATGATTATGATTAGTACGGCTATTGTTGAGACTATGATTTTGCTTGCTATTGGTGACTTGGGTGTGCCTTGAGTCGAGGCCGGCGAGGTCTCGTGCCCGTGACGGTGACGACTTTCTCGGAAAGCCTGGGCTCAACGGAAAAGGCGGTTGCTCCGAGCGGGTTCAGGGTTTCGGGTTGGAAATGGAAGGGCTGGAGGTTACTGAATAGGGGTTACTATTGGGTTTACAATTAGGCACGGAAAAGGCGATGGATCCGATTTGGGGTTAGATGCTGTAGGGTTAGGGGTTACTAAACAGGAGTTACTATTTGGTTTACAATTTTGCACGGCAATTGCCTTCCTTAGGAGTGCACAAGGGATTTAGATTCATCTGTGGTGAATCCGAGAACCTTGCATCATGGCTGATAGCATGAGCCCTAATCGGCCCTAATCCTCCCAAGTTGTCAACATACAACCACTTTTGAGTGCTCATTTCGGAGCCAGCGTGGTGTTACATGCCTCCAACTCCGTTCCAAAAACTTCAAGCAATGCAGAATCGAAGAACCCCCGACAACAGGTCTTACCAAAACACTAGCAGAAGTAAAGAAGCATCATCGTCGTATCAGCTCCAGGGTCTATTCTGATCTCCAGTGGCCTTACCGGCCGAGGAGTCCAAGTCAAGGAGCCCCCGGCCAACGCCACGGGCGGCACCTGCAATGCCTGGAGTTCAAGATCTATTAGGGTTTAGGGTTTAGGGTTTAGGGTTTAGGGTTTAGGGTTCAAGATCTATGAATTTCAGGCTTGCTCTTGTCACTTTCGTCTTCCGGCCATGGGGATTTTTCGAGTCCTAGCAAACACGAACTGTCGGTCCGGGTCTTGCAGAGTTGAAAAGGCTTGCTGTACAGGTTTCTCTCAGATGCACCACTAAAAGGCACGGTGCCTCCCCGATCTTGTCCCTCGGCTTCGCCTGATCAACAAATTCGAGATGCCAAACCAGACGCTCTCGTTTTCAGCCCTACGCCCCAAGCTCTAGAAAGTCGCCCCGCGCAGCCCTGTAAACCGCGGACCCTGAGCCCTCAATTCCTGAACCTTGTGCCTAAAAGAGGGGCCTTAATAATTAGAATAAGGGCTTGGGGCGAAAAGAGGGGTCTTAATAATCAGAATAAGGGTTTATGGTCGATTACATTATAAAATATAATCGAGAGCTCCAAAACGCTGTTGGTAATTCTTTAGGCCCTATATTAGGTTTAATAATAAGGGAGCCCCAAAATACTGTTGGCAAACATGCAGGGTCTCCCTTATGACAAGGAGCCCAAAGGGGACCCTATTTTAGAGAAGTACCCACATATAGAACCCTTTTTAAAGCCCCGTAGAAACCCTTGTAGATACCTTCAAAAGGACCCTAATTTCTACCTACATCCCAAACCCTAAACCCTAAACCCCTTATAATGAAGCCCAATAAGGTAGGGATATCCCTATAAAATGCTTATGCTTATGCCCTTTCTGGGTTCCTTATATTTTAGAGAAGTACCTCTCTTAGGGCTCTCCACGCAGGCCTCCGAGAGCGGCTCTGCAGAGTTGTTCGCCTCCCGGCGCCTGGGAGGAGTCCAACGCAGCTCCCGTCGCTTCTGGGTTTAGGGTTTAGGGGTTTAGGGTTTAAGGTTTAGGGTTTAGGGGTTTAGGGTTTAGGGTTCAGCGTTTAGGGTTTAGGGTTTGTGGGGTTTGGGTCCCTAGAATCCAGTCTATGACCCAGCGCTGTATATTCAAGATAGAAGACTCTACTATCCAAAGCTACTGCTTTATAATACACCATGATATGACTGAATCGTATTGTAGTGTATTGTAAAAGCCGTAGTTTTGGATAACCTTACAGACAATGACGGGTTTTTGTTGAGTCTCTGCTTCAGGGCAGAGGGCTAGTATTATGAAACAGTAGCTTTGGATAAATTTACAGACAATGACGTTTTTGTTGAGTCTCGGCTTCAGGGCAGAGGGCGCCGAGGCCGCTGCAAGCGATCCTCTTCCTCCTCAAGCCTCAGAGAAAAAAGAGATCTTAAAGATGACGTCCTTAAACCCTAAACCCTAAACCCTAAACCCTAAACCCTAAACCCTAAACCCTAAACCCTAACCCCTTTGGGCTTGGGATCTTGGAGTTTAGAGCTTTTGGCTTAGGATTTGTCTTGGGGCCCTCGGGGTCTTGGAGCCCTGGGCTGTCGGATTCTAGGGTTTGGGATGTCGACTTTGGGGGCTCCTTATTTGTACTTATATTATTTATAATTTACCCCAAAACCCGACTCTAATTTTTAAGGCCCCTCAACCCTAAACCCTTACAGTAGCCCTTATAAACCAATCACAAGAACCCCAAAGCCCGCTTCTATAAGACCCCTCCCTACCTTAGGGTCCTTGATCCCCTGGCCCTGCCTCTCCCGTAGCCGTCCTGGTCGCCTTGGTGACGTTGGCGGAGATGTCGGCATCTGCGAAGAACCGAAAGCAGCTGGGCTTAGAAGAGTGGGGGGTTTAGATAAGGCAGACTCGCCATTTACGGGTTGTGAAGAACCTGCTAGGTCCTTGTACATGTACAGTCAGAGCAGTTGTCAGCT